TTCAATGGTACACATTTATACATAGTAAAAAAAAATAGATGATAAAACAAACGATATGTTCTTGATACTAATGTTTAAATCGTTTTCGCATTAAAAACACATCATGTTTATATATATGTTTTGTTTGAGGTAAAATAAAAAAACTTTTTTGTTGAACAATAAACTCAAATCTCGCTTCAAAATGACTTCGATAAAATTCTCTGAAACCGGCAAAACTACCATGTTCGGTGTTTTTTTGATAGTAATTCAAAGTATAGAACTTGTCATCGTTTTTTGTTCTCATAAAAATTAAATATTTACAAAAATAAATTAGTTCTTTCTATTATGCTTTTTTGAAATAGTAACGTAGTCTTTCTGCTAGAGCCTTATAACATATTCAGAATTCTTTTTCATGTAAACGTATACGTTATAATCTCTATTTTTTTTATCTCGTAGGCACATCTGATCGATTTGCAAATATCTAATATTTTGTATGAACTTGATCATCAATGTATTATTCTTGTTTATGATGTTTATAATATATTAAATGTTATTTATACTATACTTGAATTAGTTAAACAATGTTCTTTTAACATTAAAATTCTCTATGTATCCTTTCGGAATTAAGGCGACATTCAATGTCATGGGAAAGAATACAAAAGTCATCAGCAAAATGAAACGTTGTTCGAGTTTTTTTTGTTTTACTGTCTTCTCGTATGAAGTTACGAAAAGCATAAAAAATATTAAACATATTTTTAAAAAAAAAGTACTAAAAAATCTATGTATCTTCATGTTATGTTTTTGCTGATATATAAAACATTTCCATAGAATCCAACAATTAAATCTTGATATATGTAGTGCATTTGATATACTTCATTAGAACGTCATTGTAGGTATCTGGTTTTTTATAATTCATTCAATGTTTTATTCTTTTTCAATTGTTTATCGATCGTTTAGTGTATCTATTATCATGGTAGTTGAACAAGAAAATTTCTCTTTGATGATTTAATATGAAATGTGTTTTTCTACTATCGAATACATATTATTTATATATATAAATATATCTTTATTTTTTGTTTGCATCCTATTACTTTTATCAACAAATATTTCTTTGTCGAAAATAGTTAAATTGATATTTCATTAATATAACCGAACATTCATAGAATCTGTAAAGTATTATGACTCACGAGATATAACTGAATATATTACTAAAAATATAGAATACGGTTTTTTCTAATTTTTAAAACAAAATTATATTTAAAATTTTCCCTGTATTTTTTTTATCTATATTCTAATAGTTTCTAGAGATGAATTATTACTCAAAAAGAACGCAATCTTATTTCTTGTATCTTTCCTTTCGTTCGGTCATCGTTTGTTTGTTTTGATATAGACTGCACGACATCCAAGTTGTCGTTACACATTCGACATGAACAAAGAAACAAATGGAAAATCAAATGTTTAAAGGTAATAAACATGTCGCGCGCTCAAGTTTTCATCATTCAACACATACACACCGGCTGTTTTGGGGCACTGCGTATTATCACTCCGTGACGTGGACGTCCGCCTTCTCACGTCTCTGTATTTTATCTCTTTTTCCTTCCATTTCTACTTCTTCTCGTTCCTCGCAACAGAAGAACAGATAAATTTAAACTAGCAGAGCTTCTCGGGGTGGCTCTAAATCAAATGAACATTCCCAGTGATATCCAACGTTCTGTTGGTAACCTGTACAGGTGTGCAGATGATGGGCCTTCATAACATAGGTCCATGTTTGCATGACTAGAAGCGTCCATCTTGTCATCATCTCCTTGGAGATAATTATCATGGATGTAGTAGTCATACATACATAAATATATGTTTGCCGAACCATTGTCGGCTTTGTCCACTGCACAGCTCAACAGAATAAGGGGAGTATCCCTGGTCGCTCATGCGCGAAATTTTTGCAGCTGGTGCGGTAAGGCAAGCCAAGTGATCAAGAAGTCCAATTTATTTTCTCGTTTAAAAAAAACCATTACATTTTCTTTTTTACATTTTCAATGTTTCTTTTCACAAGTACAATGTGTGGATGATTTGAAGATAGCGATTTTTTCCAGATGTCTTGAGCTTTTTCGTAATATTGAAGTGCTTTCGAGTACTCGCCCGTGTCTTCATACACACTACCGATGTTGTTGTAGGAACCAGCCAAAGAGGGATGATTCGGAGGGAGAGCTATTTTTTTGATTTCAAGCGATCGTTCAAACGATGAAAGTGCTTTCGAGTACTCGCCCATGTTATTATACAATGAACCGATGCTGTTGTAGGAAGCAGCCAAGTCGGGATGATTCGGAGGGAGAGCTATTTTTTGGATTTCAAGTGATCGTTCATACGACGAAAGTGCTTTCGAGTACTCACCCATGTTATCATACACCAAACCGATGTTGTTGTAGAAAGGAGCCAAGTCGGGATGATTCGGAGGGAGAGCTATTTTTTTGATTTCAAATGATCGTTCAAACGATGAAAGTGCTTTCGAGTACTCGCCCATGTTATAATACACCGAACCGATGTTGTTGTAGGAAGAAGCCAAGTCAGGATGATTCGGAGGGAGAGTTTTTTCTTCGATATTGAGTGATTTTTCATGAAACTTAACGGCCTCATTGTATTTTCCTTGGCTGTTTTTAAACAGTCCAATATTACTATAGTAAGCGGCTCTATCGCTTTCATTGGATGTGTGTTCGAGTAACATCGTGTACACCTTTCCTGCTTTGTCATTTTCACCCAGTCTCCATAACAATAAACCCATTCGTTCCCATCCTGTACTAGTAATCTCCTGTCGCATTCGTTGGGTAAGAGCATTAAGCTGTTGGTCGTCACTGTCACTAGTGAGTGTAAGTTTAACTTGTCGTATGGTCATTTCACCTTCTTGTATTTCTTTTATTCGTTGGACACGAAAAACTGTATGCATTGAAAACAGGATTTCTTTTTCTGTCTTGAAATAACTAAATAGGTGAATGCGGGCAAATGGAGCCGATGAAATCGATGGATTAATAGTCATTTCAAAGAGAACACCAATTGTGTTTTGGTCAGCAGATTGAGGCCCTTTCGGAAGAAAACGAATGGCCACCTTTCGATCATCACTTGTTGATAAGAAATTATTGAACGAAATCAATCCACCTTCTTTGATTTTATTTCCAAAATCTTCCTTGATCATGGCTTGACCTCGGTAGACTGTAATTGTTGTTTTTGCACCATGAATTTCACTGAATTGTTCTGAATAAAGTTTCTCGATGTTTTTATGAAGGTCTCGAATGAAGATGCCCATTTTGAGCAGGGTCTCGACTTGTAGAGTACGTAGTGCTTTGTTGAGCATCTGATACGTGAAACAATTTCGAGTGTACCACCAAATGGGCTTGTTATTTCCATTCAAATTACCTTGATAGTCTTGAGCGAATTCATCGATAACTTGCAAGTGTCTGTCATTGCCGATATACTTCTCGCGGGCGTAATCGGCTAAATCCTTGATTTCTTTCTTTTCGTCGAAATTGATTTCAAGAATTATTTCTTTGAAAAGTTTTGTATACATAAATGATGGTTCTATTTGATTCAATGAAGATATAACACTAATCACAACTAAATCTTCATCACATTGTTGAGCCGATTGTCGAACTGAGTTACAAATTGAAGTCATTTCGGTGTAAATACCTTCCACTTTGGACCAGTTTTTTCTCCATTGTTCATACAGTTCTTGTTTCCGACAAAAGACGTAAATTGAATTCAGTTGTGTCATATTATGGATGAGTGGCACAACTGTTTGACATAAAGCGCCGGATATAATGAGAAATGACTTTTCATTTTCAAGGTCTGAAATATAATCGATACATTCATCTGTATCACGAAATATTTCAATGGTATTGACTGTTTGTCGTAGTTGTTTGATAGAATTGAGACAGTCACTGCTAGATTGATCGATTTTTGCGTCAAGCCAAATCAAAATATAATTTTGTACAATATCATTTGTATCAGTATGACGATCCCGTTTCGGAATGTGATTTGGGTCTTCTACTTTCTGATTTAATGTAGAACTCGACGATGGATGATTAGTGCTGAAAGAATTTAACACTGCTGATAATGCATCGCGATCCATATTGTTTGATTGATTGTACGTAATGTGAACAAATTATATGTATTATTATGTGTGAATCTGAAATCATGAATGAATGGCTGCTATTCAACGACAAAGCTTCCTTATTTAAAAAAAAATTTCTTTGACGAGGGTTTTTTTTTCTCAATTATCAATATATGTATTTTTTTCTTGATACTCAAGGAGGTAGCCTGACTTTAAAAGGAAAGCGGCGGATGTGAGTGCAGGTGTAAATATGAGTATATTAATTCCACCCATATTCATACCCAGATCATGCAATTCATTAGAATGATACAGGGGACGAATCTGGTAGCATCAAACTTTTGAAAAAAAGGTCCATGATTTTTGAAAAACTATCACAGTAACATATTTTAACGACAATGTTTTGATGAAGGAATACAATTTTGAATACGGTGTGGCAAGCTATAAAACAGAACCAGTATCATTGAATTTCGAGCTAAGATCTACTAAATAAACGCTTTTTACATCATTCGCATGGTAGGTGGGTGTGGACGTAAAGAAGGCAACACTCACACCCACACTGTAAGTAATAAATGAATAGCCGTGGTCGAATGGTAATAAGGTAGAGCAATGAATAAATGAGTACTTACCGGGGGCAGGAGATGTGAAGAAACTCGTTCGTCTTCTTAGACAGAGTTTGTTTCTTTTTTTGTTGACACTTTTTGGTCAGTTGTGATACGAGTATGTGTAATTTGTTACTGAGGACTTCTTATCTTTAGTTTCAAAAGTGAAGAAGATGTGAGTCTGTATCAAAGATCAACAACGAAATGAATGCATCATCATTGGAAAAAAGGGAAGAATCGAAACACCACGATAAAATAAATGTTGTTCTCATTGTTATCAAGCTTTTTTTCCAACATAGTAGTAGGTATGGGTTGCTAGAAAGGACGTGTTTGGTATTGATAAGGTTAAAGAACAAAGACATTCATTCTGAAGACATGATTTTTTCAATGAAGGAACGTGTGTTGGGTGAGATGGATGATAGATAGGTAATAGTAAACAACACACATGTTGATTCTCACTCACATCCACATATCCAGCCTGATTATTATATCATAGGATATCATAAAATATATTGACTTGTTTGAAATAATCTTTAACAGAAGTATAACCTTTTTGCCTTGTTTTTCTTTCAGATACAAGTTAGTAGATACCTATCAATCGTTTATCACATGATCAATTGAAAGACTTGAACGAAAAAATGATTTATGTATATATATATTTATATATTTAACAGATGTGGAGGCATGAAAAGTTCTTGAGAATTTTATTCATTGATTATAAATAGATGTATATTGAAGAAAAGCTAATGAATATTTGAAAAAACATAAAAATAATTTAATAATTGTTTATGATCGTTGAAGAAGGTGGTATGTTTTTCTATTATTCAACAACGAGAAATAATGACATTTAAATGTATAAATTTCAAAAAAAATATTCATATTATTGAATATGTTTTTATTTCAAACTCCGATAAATAAAAATTGTCTTGCAGCAAGACAAAAACCTATTGAAATAGGAATGTTTTGTTTGCTTTGAAATCTTAATCATAAATAGAACTCGATGAACACTAATCGTTGCAAGCACCGGTCCAAGCTCTATTGTATTAGTTAAACTGAGATAAAATCTCACTAATAAGTTTTTTTATGTGATGTTATGTCAAGCAGAGAAAATAGATCTACTGAAGTCAAACAATTCTATTATAAGATCTTGTATGATTCTTACAAGATCGTATAAAAACTGGAATATGGAAAAGTGATTTTTTTTAGTGAATATTTCAAATTCATCAAATTTTAAATAACACACATTTATTGGGAAATATTTCAAATTGAAAATATTTCTTGGTATTTCTCTTTTTATTGAACTATTTCAATTTAAACACCTACAAGTTAATTGACTAAGTCTTGGTGTACATGAAAGAGTCATAACTAATTTATGGATGACACATTCATAATCAACAACTAATTAGATATTCAAAAGGACTGTATTCATTGGTTGTGTATAATCGTTAAATAGGTGAAAAATACCTGATTGCTGAAATTTTGTTATATTTCAGTGAAGGCAAACGAAAAAATAAGCCATAACGTTTCAAGATAATTTTTTAATTCATCATGAAGATCAATTTCCAATGAAAAAAAGACGAGGTAAAATAAATAAATTCGAAAGATGTGATGTCACAATGCTATATGGAATTCTTTAGACAGCAAGGGATTCAAGATGATTATATGATAAATTGATCATAGGTTATGAAAAAGAAAATGATTTATATATGTATCATGCATATGCAATGAAATAATTCGATGTCGATATGACATGACAAATTTAAATTGGTAATGATGAATAAAGAATGAGATGTTTAAAAACATATATTAAGATATAAAAATATATCGAAAATATCACAATCATCAAATTCACAAAAAAATTAAAATAAAACTAAATACATATATTATTTACACTTACTCATTCTTATTAAATATTCAAACTAAAATAATGAAAAAAAAAAACTTCGTAATTTTTTAATTTTTTCATCAGATGATACGCATTCATTCAATTCTTGTTTGATTTGATTCATAAAAATATTAGAAGACATAATCTAGAAAATATTTATTCAATTGGAATTTTTTTAATAGTAAATAAAATTACTTGTTAACTATAGTTAAAACAAAGTTTGCATGTACGGTATAATAAAACTCACTAAACAGATACAAAAAGAAAGCAAGATGTTGATGATCTTTCAATTATTTTTTGAAACAATTATCTGATTCAGACGAACTTAATTTATCTGCATCATAAGTTATAAATTTCGCACTGAATTATAATGAATTTTAATCTAAAGAAGAATCTTTTTACATAAGCATTTCTATTACTACATAACAAAGAATTCATCAAAAAGTGTCTCCACCAAAAGATAACAGTGTATTGATAACAAACACAGATAATTTACATAAAATTTCATGCAAAAAAGATTATTATAGTTGACATTTCTTTATGTTTGTGCGTATGCTCTACGTGCAAAACTGTTATTATATTTTCTTGCAATAAGAATTTTTCCTATGCAACTTTTAAGCATAACATATTTTAATTGTATCAGTAATCTGTTATTAATTTATGATAATTTCAGATATGAATAATTTCAAAGATTTTAATAATTAGTTTAGCATATCTTCATATTATTAGAATAATACAACGATGTAAATCAATTCTAGAAAAATTAAAGACAAGTAAATATATTTGTTTTATTTTTTTGAAAGTATAAAATTACAATGATTTTTCAGTCAATTTTCAGTATTAAATCTTTGTCAACTGTATCTGATACAGATAGTATAACTTGATTTCGTTTTGTCTTACTTCAGTTTTTCCAAAGAGATTATTATAACGTAGCGATGAACGAGGAAATATATAACAATTGCCGAGTATTGTTCGAACCCATTTTGGAGCTACGACTAGGACTCAATGAGATTAAGAAAAAAATAAGTAAAGAATATCTCTATGTTTCTCTTTGCTTGAGAAACACATGAGTAACAACTGCAGTGTATATCGTACAAATTGACTTAACTATTTGCTCATATTTTATTTGAAAAATAAATATGACCATCTTAATTGCATCTTTTCTAGGCACTCGAAGTTCTAAGGAGACTAGTTTTCAATTCATTCTATCTTCTAAAGGAACAAAACTTATCGAACATTTTTATATGACAATAGTGACATAGACAAACAAAAAAATCGATACATTACTTTATATTTTTCTTGTTGTCACTTTGTATAAAAACAAAAGATCTACTTTCACTATTATATTCTATAATAGAATTAAATGAAAATTTTACGAATGTTAACATTTTCAGATTTCAACTTCTTGCAACAAAGAAAAAACAATCGAGGAAAAAATTAAAAAAAACAACCTCATTTGGCTTACACTTATGTGGTAACCAGATCTTCGGTAAGTTACTATTGAAGTTCAAAAGATCGATTTAGTTTTTAAAAAAACATTCTCGTTTTTGTTTCCAGTTAAGATATGATCGAATAGCAGAAGCATCAAATATCATAGCAACCGTTTGAAAAAATTTTTTGCTAATTCATTATGAGGTCATATTCGATGAATTTCATTTATGACATAGTCGACATAGTTTCAATTAAACATTTTGATACATCAACAGATTCTTTACCAAAATTTTTCATGCATTTAAGAATTCATTTTGGAATAATATGATGAACTATGATTCAAGAAAAACAACATAAGTAAAGAAGAAATATTTTTTGTTTTTTTACTTGTAACATTATCATTATTGATTTATCTATTTGTCAATCTTCTTCAATCACATCAAGTAGAGAATAAATAATGTGTTGATGTCAAATGCAGGAAATATTAGAATAACTTATTTCAAACATTATGTATTAATAATATTCCGTAAATCATCACCATGATTATTAGAATCATTACAGATTTCGGTCAAATATGTACAAGATTGTTCATCTTTTTTTACTTCAGAACAAGTACGTCAATCTAAATAGAATTTTCAGCACAAAAAAAGGAAACCAATACAAGATTTGTTTTGACATGTGATTGTGCAGCAAGAACACGTCTGTCATAGTAACAAACATCATCCAATAGAAAGAAAAAAAAACTTTTTCGTTTTCCTGAAATAAATAAATGCATAATAGGTCACTACTTTATTTTTCATCAGATATTTCTTTATCAATAATGCACAATAATAAGATAATAAAAAACAAGACACAAATACAAGAAGATGATTCAAGTATAACCTCTTTGAAATTATAAAATACAGCTCAATCTTCTTTTGTTACAAAATGTTGTTGCTTTACCTGTACGACGAATACAATGTATATAATCTCAAATAATTCAAATCATATTCATTTCTTTTTTTATGAAATCTTTTTTTCTTTTATCTTGAATTGTCTTAGTCATATTATAATTTAATACAAGTGAATCATCTTTTATATCAACACCACGAGCAGGAACATCTGTTGCAACAAGAATATCTTTTTGATTTTGTCCTAAATGAGCTAAAAGCTAAACCTCGACTTTCTTGACCTTTTCCACCCTAATAGAAATAAACAAAAAAAAGGAAATTCAAAAATAATAATTTGTTCAACACATTCAATTAGATTACCAATTGATCCATCATAAACAGATGCTGAACAACAACGAATATATGTATGTGCTAAATGTTCAATAACTGGTGTCATTGTTACTGTAAACATGACTGCTTAATGATATATATCTTTTGAAGCAAAATCTTTTAAAATAAAAGAAAGAAAAATATTTCTTTTTTTTTGTTATCTTGTATCTTCTACAACTTCATTATCTGGTTGTTGATTTGTAACTGGTAAATATTCAAGAATACGTTTAACATCAGCTTCATCCATAAGAACATAAGCACATTGTTGTAATTTTTTAATAATGATTTTCAAGTACATCAATAAGACAATCTCGTGTATCAATAACAATTTGATAACCTAGATAACAGTTATATTTAATGGCTAAATATCAACAAAAATTATTCAATATATATGTGGTAGGACAGAATAGAACTCAGTTCAGTTTTAGATAGTCTTAGTTCAAATTGAAATCTCGAGACGACCCATATAACAAGATTTGACAAGAAACTCCATTAACTTTTTTTTTACATGAGAATTCAAATGTTGCATCCTTGTAGACAACGTAATCGCTCAAAATGATATAATAATCTAGAAGTTACCAAATAATTTACAAATAGTTTTGAGAACGAGTTCGATCATGCTAATAGTATATAGACATCTTGTATGTGGATCTCCTAGGCTCAGAGAACACTTATTCCATCGAATCTAGATCGCTCCGATTGGATCCCATTGGAATTTATGAGAATTTCGATCGAAGAACTCTTTTATTAGGCCCCTATCGAATTTCCAGAATATTTTAACAGCCGGATTCTAAACGTTTTTCCTGTAGAATCTGGCAGCCAGATTAATCATCCTGTTTTTAGACACTTGCTTGTGACAAGACTATCTGTAGCAGCTGAACTAACACCATTTTACTAGTCAATAAAGTCATAGCCGAAATGTTTGAACAAAGGTGGAAATCATTCAGAAAATCTACACCAGCTCCGAGATGACGTCAGTGTTAGCTCTGGCATTAACCCTTTCGAGGCGATGTTGCCCACCGGTGGGCGACGCTATAGTTTAACGAGAAACTATATAGAAAAGCACTTTCTTTTGCTTTTTTCTTAGGCAAGAGGTTAAACACAATGTGAATTCTGCTCAACCCTGGATATGTTTTTTGATTCTTTTATTCCATAGCATGATATTTTTTATTAAAACAATCAAGATAAAACAATTAATTACAGTCAGAACAAAAGATTTTTATTCTCTTTGCTGCCACATAGCTCTTTTCTCTTGATTGTAGTCCCTTTCCTTTCCTTTCTCAAAGCAGTCTACAGTGTCTGCGAACATTAGGCGCAAATTCTTCTTTTTCTGCAAGCTTATGATCAACTAGTTTACACTTCGAATTACTTGTTGATTGTTGCTTCATACCAAGTTTCAGCATCTCAAATGACGTACTAAGATGTAACGATCGTACAAGATTCACAAAACTGTAGCATGGTCACATGACTTGTATCATAATTTTCCTTATAAATCAAGTAGGCGTTAATTGTTGCCGTTCC